GGTTGGCTACCGCTTAGCCTTATGGCCTTGGTAATTTTTATCAACTTTCCTCATTCAACATTTATTGATATGACAAACCACCTCTCTGCAGCCGGCCCGAGGAACACCGACCATTAATCTCCTTACACGCCTGGCACCGAGGATCACCTCTTCTTCCCCATCTTCACAGGATAAAGACATTACTAGGAAAGAAAAGCAGCTCCAAGCAAGCAGCGCAGTAGTGCTGGAGCTGTAAAAAAGGCGGGGAAGAGCTGTTCCCCAAAAGCGGCTGTAAAATTTCTCATGCCTGCAAGAACCCTGTACAGACAGTTTTCATGCTGCAGCATCGAGGCTGCAGGGGTAAATCATGGAAATACCTTATCTTGATAAGTTTCTCTCCCGCCGCTTTTTTTCTTCTCTGTTGTTATATCCACAGGGAGAAGATAATTTCACTTACTGTCCAGCAACAGGCCTAGCTGAAGGCAATGAGCACTCGGACTTTGCTGGCTGGGCATTTCCATTTCCAGGGGTGTTTCTGATGGAGGAGTTCATTAGCAAAGATGAAGAATCTGAGATAGTTGAACTGATGGATCAAGATGACTGGAAACCATCACAGTCCGGCCGAAAGAAACAGGTTTGACTTTAGAAGCACATTTGTTCTTCGATCCCTCGGGAAGAAGAAAGCTGTTTTCAGTTAAAACACAGAACGTTTTGATGTTTCATCAAATGCTTTCCTTTGAAAGCTTTTCCTGAAATCGATTGCAAGAATTACTTGTAATTAACGTTCACTTCTTGCAAAAATACATGATAGTTACAATAAACAGTATTTGATAGTGCATGCTCAGACATTAAAGTTCACACAATCTCCAAATGAAAGAAGTGGGTGTTTTGGTCTGGTTTTACTTTGCAGGTGACAAATCTAATTCCAGAGAGATTAATGTAGCTTCACTGAGTCCTTTTGCAACCCTGGGACCAGGTGACTGGAGAGATGAGGCCAGAACTCAAAAGTCTTCACCATCAGCCCTGTAGGGATCACAGGCTCTCCAAGACGACTTGTCCTGGACTTTTCCCTAACACTAGCTTTTTCCCCCCCTCTTCTTTTCCAACAGGACTACGGACCCAAAGTGAACTTCAAGAAACAAAGGCTGAAAGCTGGCAGCTTTACTGGTTTGCCAAGTTTTAGTAAAAAGATCGTGGCGCAGATGAAGGCCTGCTCTGTACTAGGCGGTTTCTTACCCGTTGAACAATGTAATCTGGACTACTTGCCAGAAAGGGGTTCTGCCATTGACCCACATTTTGATGACTGGTGGCTTTGGGGAGAGCGCCTGGTTAGCTTAAACTTGCTCTCAAAAACAGTGCTATCCATGTCTTGTGATTCAGAGGACAGCATCCAATTATTTCCCACCTTCAGTAAAGAAAACGGGGAATTAAGTCCCCCTGGATCTTTTACACAGACGTCAGCGTGCAAAAATTCAGGCAAAGAGGGAATCAACTGCATTTTATCCCCAAGGCTTGTTCCAAGTAAAGAGGTGACTGTTGCCATTCACTTACCCCGAAGGTCTCTGGTGGTGCTGTACGGTGACGCACGGTACAAGTGGAAACACGCAATTTACCGCAAGCATATAGAGCATCGCCGAATCTGTGTCACGTTCAGGGAGCTGTCTGCAGAGTTCAGCACCGGAGGAAGGCATGAAGAACTGGGTAAAGAACTGCTAGAAATAGCTCTTTCATTTCAAGGAAGACCAGTGTGATCAGCAAGAGGAAGCCAGAATTGTGTTTTGTTAGGAAATATGAAAAATAAAGTACAGAATTTGTGCAAGTTGGTTTATTTCTGAAGTGTGCTTAAGGAACCAGGTGCATACAGAGATAAGCTCAGTCAAATGGAAATGTAACAGACAGAAATAAGAGAGTGCAAGGAAGGGGTGGGCTGCCTGCTTCTTCGAAGACTCTCCTGGGCAATGGGAGCTTTTAGGCAAAAGTCAGCAATGAGCGGTTGTATTCATTGGCCGTATTGTAACAAAATGCAAAAAGCAAGTAGCCAGATCTTAAATACTTTAGTTATAACCAAGAAAGAAACTTGGAATAATGAAACCCTGTATCAAACAGCCCTTGGCACAGAGTCAGCCCAAGCCCCTCAGCAGATTTTAACCTCTCCTGGCCTGTGCTTGGTTCTGTCGCGCTGCTTTTAGTGTTGCACTGTGCCGTAGGGACACCACTATCTTCTCACCCACTTCAGATAGGTCCTTTAGAGATCAGCTCTCCGGGGGAGGGGGGTAAGCAAGCGTCTCTCCACAGGCAGTACAACACACTAATTAAAGTAATTAACCTTTGCTGAAGATTCATGCTCTAACAGTGAGGATTAATCATAAATACTGTGTGTGACCTATATCTTCTGGGACCAAAGAGCAGCATTTGCAGAAGGACAATGCCGACTCTTCTGCAGAGGCAGCCTGGACAGAGTTCAGAGCAAAGACACACAGACTGTGTTATTTTCTGACCATTTGTTATCTCTGAACCCCACTGTCAACTCTCAGTAGCAAGAGTCTGATTTGGGGAATAAGCTGGGCAACAGACTGCAACGCTGGTGGCTATCATTTTTTTTTTCTTGGCACCTCCAGCAGTCAGGTTTGAATCATGCCTTCTACCTAAGATGCAAGTAGTCATTTGTAGCAGAAGCTGATTTGAGGCCATCTGTCGGCTCCGAACAAACTTCTGTGCTCTTGAAAACAAAGTTGTGCTGTGGAAGAAGTGTGATCCTTTAATAAACACAGTTGTGCCACCACAACCTTTCAGCACAGTCACACCTACAGCAGTAAAGCACCACTTTACAATGCTGCCTGGCTTTAGTTGGTAAGGAAATTTAAACACGGGGATCTCAGCGTCCCTGCGCAGCTGTATTCTGAGTACTTGGCAGTACTTGGCACCATGCGCAGGTTTTACTCTATAGTAATGCACTCGTGCCATAGATGCTGCCCTCCGCTTCAGGCACTGCGGGGAGCTCTTCACCCAACAACCAAGTTACTAGAAATCAGTTGGGTGAACCAGGATATATTTTATCAGTTTAAGCTACCAGATACAACTACAGTCCCTTGGGGCTGCAGGGAACCAGTTCCAGTTTAGCCCAGTATTTAAAGATTTGTGGACATCTAGGTGATATTCCCAAGAGAGACCCACGAGCAGGGCTCCCACGGGCACCCCTTAACCCCAAACCTCCATTCAGGCAGGCTGGCGAGTGTCACCCACACCCTCCAGTAGCGGTTTCGGCAGCCGCAGCATGCCCTCTCCAACGGAAATCCGCCACTGCAAATGCAGCCAGCCAACGTGCAACAGGCTGGCCACGCTCGCTCACAGCAAGCTTGGTCCCAGGAAATTTCTCATAGGCTGCAACTTCTCCTGCTCACTCCCAAAACCAGGGTCTTGTGCTCTCAAAATTGCGATTCCTAACCTTTTTCCGGCAGACTGGTGTGATCGGCACTGCGCTGCTGGTGTCCACGGGGCTCAGCAGCTGTAGAGAGTGTGATGTCCCCGGCCCAGCAGCTGGAGCTGCCGGTGGAGCAGAGGACTTTCGGCCAAGCAGGAGGACCCAGCGGGCAGCCTGGAGCTCAGCACAAAGCCACACTACGGGAGGAAACCCAGGGCAGGCTTTCATGGATAAAGCAAGTGTTGAGCCTATATCCTCATCGCCCTGTCAGTACTGAGCCACTTCAGCAACCTGCTCTTTGCTCAGCAAACCACAGCCGTCAAGTATTTCCATTAACGCTTGGCCCTTATTTCCAGTGCTCCGTTTTAGATTTATATTGTTGCTCTCAGCCCGTTGAAATACTTCTGTGTGCGTACTTGCTGTTCATTCTCTTCACAGTGAAAGCAGATGATGGCTCCCGATGAATCGGAGTGCCATAATAACAAGATAAACAATATTAGTTCATTTTGTGCTCTGCTTTTGTTTGCTGAATTTTTCTCCCTTGATCAAGCTATATGGGAAGCTGCCGTTCTTGCCAGAAAACTCCAGCTCCTCCTAGCTGACATCTTAAATTTAATAAATGCAAATAATTATATTCTCAGCCAAATATTGAGGGCTTTGTCTAGATGTTTTTGAAGTCCAAAACTTAGCCTAGTCACTACACAGTCATTGCTATGTCTATCTCTTGACATTTTTCACCTGTTAAACAGCCTCTTGGGCATCATCTTAGGTCAAAATGCAATTATACACCCATCGGTTCTGTATTACTTTATAAAACTTTACATACATTCTCCCCTAAAAAGCCAGAATTGCAGCGCTGCAGAACATATACAACTGATTTGGATTGTCAAATATTAGAGAGGCCTGAGAAAAGTATATAGAGGGTTTAATCTTAATTAATTAGCTCTTAAAAGTAATTTTGGCCACTATGCTAGTATTATTGATGTAAGACAAACTTTAATAGTCTTCATGTTCTGGGAATTCCTATCGCAGCTGTTTATCTTCTTAACCAAGATTAGCACTTGTAAAACACATACCAAGAACCAGGCCCTCATTAAAAGGAAGCACATCTAATTGTAATCTAGTTGTGTATTTTAAAAGGAGAAGGATAATATCAGACCAAGCTTTAAAAGAAAAAAACAAAAACCAACAAAAAACCCCAAACCCAAACAAAACCCAGCAGACCCCCAGTTAACCCATAGAGGATGCTGGAGGACTTGAGCTGCCCTTCAAAAAATCAGTCTGAAATCAGCAAGAAGCATAAAACTTGGCAAGTTTATCCAGTTTCTCTTACACAGCTGGACAGTAACCGAGATACATACGTTGTTCTACAGTAAATATTGTTCATGCAGAGGTAAAACAAGAATAGGCAAAGCTAAAACACAGATTTTTGCTTTTTGCCTCCTAGCCCTTAGCACTCACCCTTGTCACACCCCTGGGCAGAAGGCAAGCTCCCTGTCGCACGCACAGGGATTCACGGGAACGCTTTCCAAATTCAGCCAGTCAGTAATTACTGAAACCCTGAAACCGCTTTGTTTGAAACGGGTACAGAGGAGACAGCTTGCGAGAAGTTAATCAGAAAATAACCAAGGCAGGGGAAAAGAAAAAAAAAAAAAAAAAAAAAAAAAGAGAAAGGACATTAGGAAATCCCACAGAAAGCCATGGAAAGGCAAGAGGAGAACGTGAAGTGCGAGCAACCAGCCCTGCAGCCAGCTGGGCACCCTGCAGCTCCGTCCCTGAGCCCAGCGTGGCCGTCCTCGTCCCCATGGCAAGCTGGGTTTGCCCATCCCTGAGCGAACTGAAGGATGCTCGCTCTGTGGCTGCACTCACCCCACCCCTCTATAAACACTTCCACATATTTGAGCGCTTACCGCAGAGCGTGCTCCGGCTGGGGCTCTCGCTCAGTATCGCTTTCATCTGTCATGTGGGTCAGGCCCAGACGGTCAAATCCAACATCTACTCCATCTCCCCTGGTCACAAAGCCTCCCCGAGAGCCACATATCCACCAAAACAATGGGGCGGCAGCTACCAGAGCCAAGGCTGCCCCAGGGCAACGTTAAAAATAGGGAGCTTGCAGAGTAAGAGCTGCCACTAACCACAGCAAAGGCAGAACCCGATACTGCTCCAGCTCCAACAGCTCCCGGCAGCTCACATTCGTGCCCGGTCTTGACTCCTGCTAACAAGGGAAGGAGAGAGAGGATTCGCCTCCCAAACCAAGGCGGGTACCCAAGAACAATATGAAGCAGGGCTGTACCTCTGTCATCAACAGCTCCTTCCCCACTTTAGGAAGGGTCTTTCCAGTGCTGGAGCCTGCAGAGGCATTTTTCTGCCAGGCAAAAGCTGTCCAAAAAAATCTGAAAGAGGACTCAGGACTCTGGAGTGAGATTGCAGCTGTCCCCTGCAGCAAGCCGAGCCCCTCTGCAGAAATTGGAGAAATGGCCCAAACATGGCAAGAACAGGTCCAGAGAGTCACAGCCCAAGGGAGCTGAGAATTAGGGCAACAGCCATCCCAAAATACAGGGCCCAAGGCTGGTACAGAAAGCTAACACACACATCGGGGGGGATCCTCAACACACATCCCAGCCCGATGGTAGGACCTTTGGGAGAAGCATCCCTGTGCAGGCACCGCAAGAACGGAGCCATACAAAAGTCAGGAGATCCCAGGAACGACAGCCACCCTGGGAATGACAGAGAGGTGACAGCACAGGACAGTTGTGGCCAGGCACCATCAGGCAAACCCAGACGTGACACAGTGTGCTGCCAGCCCTGCTGAGATGCCAGCGACGGTGTGGAAAGGCAGGCATCTCCACGCTTGACTGATGGGAATCCTGCTGACAGCCACGGGGGCAGCAGCAGAAGCAAGGAGGATTTTCTGGTGCTGTAGCACAGAAACACCCATCTGGACAAGTACAACGTCCCTACTCCTTTACAGATGAACTACTGTGGCCAATACCACAGGCAATCTTTCCGCAACATGAGTCTGGACTCATGAGTTTGTTGCTGGGAAAGAAGGAGAGGAGTTACAGCACGAAGGTGATGGGTAACCTAGAGAGATCCCAGACGCCAGAGTCAAAGAACAATAATACCCCCGTGGGCTTCCCATAGAAGGGAGAAGTTGGTGCCCAGAGAGACACAAGAAACAAAGCTGCGAGCAAAGATGGGAAAGCACATTATTATTCTGTTTTAAGTGCATTTGCCCTTGGGACACCATCTCAAACCGTACCTCAGACTCCCTGCTGGAGTAAGGCGATCCCACTCCAGCCACTGATCCGCTGCCTTGAGACTCCTCTTGAATCCGATCCCACCAAAGCCTCACCAAATTATTCTACAATATCAAAGCACAGTTTCTGCTGCATTTCTCCATTTGCTGAAGTTTATTACATTTGCAAAGGACTAAACGAATGATATGGCTGTTTCCAAACGAGCTGCATTGCTTTCACAGCACTGTATGCACACTGCGAAACTTGATATTATTTTTAATTACAGAAATGGCTCAATGCTTTCCTCAACCTCCTGAGCTCCACAGCACAGAGAGTACTATTATTATTGATGTTAAAGGAGACTGCAAAGCACAGATGAGAGATTCATCTTATCTGGTCTGGCTCTGGCCTCACAACATGAATTTTGTTGGTAGAAAAGCCTCCGTGTGTTAATACCTGGCAGAAAACTCAACTCTGATTTTGTTGTATAAACCTTTAATTTTTATTATGGTAAAAAGAGGAGGGAGAGAGGGCAGACTCTTGGGGAGATCGTATGAATTTCACGACCACCCACTTCCCAGAGGATACTCCTTATTTTTTGCATATGTGCATAAGTACAGACCAGACATTTAGCACACAAGACTATTTTCTTTGCTGCACATCAGCCAATATGGTACACGCCAACTGCAGCAAGAACAACAGATGAAAGCCACAGACACAGTGCTAAGCAACTTGTTCAGCAACGCTCAAACTCACATGTAAACAAGAGAGATTAGAGTTGGGTTCCCAAGGCCCTCGCCAGAGAGGAACATAGGGATGGTCTCACCCTGCTGCACTGGGATTTGCGTGTACTCTCCATTCTGGGAAGCTGACATGTAATACGCTGCCATTAGATTTCTCAAATCCCAGTGGAATAAGGGACCAGGGCTAAATAGAACACTACAAACATCCTTAATGATTTCAGAAACCTGTAAGGCCTGGGAGACTCTGAAACTGCAATGTTTGAGCACAGAGCAGGAAATCAGCACAGGATCAGGGCCAAGCAAATGTGCTTATGCTTCTTTTAGCCCTGTGTGGCAAAAAGCCTTACTTTCCCTTACAAGAGCTGACGATTGCAAAACACTCTTTTCCCCTCCACAAAGTCACCAAAAATCATAAGATCATTTTTACAGTAGTTTTCACCCACAAGAACGCTACAGAATTTTCAAGCTTCCCTTGCTAAGCAATACAGACATGCAAGTGTCATTTTCTTTGCTGCTGGGGGAAAAGAAAAAGTCAGCTCAAATGAAACAGGATCGCTCTTTAATGGCACACAGCTCTCTCGCCAGATCCAGCTCTGTCAGACTCACCAGTACAGCTCCAGGTTTCACCAGAGGAGTTTGCCTGCTTTGGTGGAGGGAGAAGGAAGCGCTCATTTTTGACAGACAAATGCTACAGATGACAAAAAAACCCCAAACAACTGATGAAATACTCAGGAGTGGGGCTTGTTCTCTCCAGCAAATCAGGCAAAAGACATTGCAACAATACATAAATGAAGATGACACAGCGACAGAATTCTACAATACACTGTATGCTGTCACTCCTTACCTCCTTGAAACTTGCTTTTCTAGTCCTTCAGAGTTTCGTCTCATTAAATTCCCTGTCACTGTTCTGTTTTAGGAATGTCCTTGTTAAAACTAAAACACCTGTAAGCCTTCCCTGGGCCCTCTTGTCTCTTATTGGGAAAAAACACATGATCTTGGCATACATTCAATCTAAAGTGACAGATGCTGCTGAAGAAAGTACGACAAAACTTCCCAGCCTCCTCCAATTCAAAATTCTACCTCCCCAGCTATAAAAACATAGTAAGCAATAGCAAGAACAAAACATAAAAGCTAAGGCTGATTTCTTTCTGGTTATGTATTTCTGGAACACTTGCTTTGGAACAAAGGTGATCAACACTCACAGTTTCTGTTGTGCTTTCCTGGATGTCCTCAAGTCAGCTGCAGATACCCTCATTAACCAGCTCAGCTCTAGAAACGAGCTGCCAGTTAATTGCTGCTGCGCTGACAACCAGGGAGTTCTGACACATAAGACAAGTCCTACACACACACACACGGGCGTTTTGGACAGCTGATGCAGTTTTACTTTTGGCAACGGAATACTGCATTCGTAAAAAATACAGATTTTTGGCTACCTGAACCAATGCTAAGGTAGGTAAAGTTTTGACCTTGAACTCCATGGCAGTGTCAACATAAGTTCGCGAGTGTGTAGGACCAGAAACAGGCCAGGGACCCCAGCATCCGAAACAGCACTAGAACCCACAGCTATATATGGCAGGCAATTAGCGTTTACATATTTAAGCCTCAAGACAATCCATCACTGGTGCGTCTCACCAACTAGCAAAACAGGTATTTTGCTCCTAGCCTTAGCTGAGCAGATTTGCTGGAAGCAGCCTCTGCCTCTCTGTCACACTACCTGCATGCCTCTGTCATGCCCGTCTAACTGCACTTTCAGTTTGTGAAGCTCTTCGATCTCCCGGTTGTGGCGCTCCGTTTTGTGCCGCACCAAAGAGCGGTAGAAGTGAATGGTGAAGACAACAAAAATCAGACCCACTGGGACCATGATGATAGTGGAGACCAGTGCTGACTGCCAACCTGCGTGGCTGCTGGCCTTCTCGACTTTGGCGGTCTCATTTTTCAGGATGGAGCCCACAGGCAGAAATTTTATCCAGCACAGAAGCACGACTTCCGCAAGGAAAAGGAGGATCCCCAAGACTGTGGAGAAGCCCCACGCCAGCTCGATGTAGGGATGCATGCGCTCATGCGGGGACTCACTGATGGAGTTCAGGTTGTGGATGTTGCTCACTGCTTCCACGTTAGGCAGAATGCAGGTGCTGATGAGAAGGGCGAAGAGATGAACTGCCACGAGCACTGTCGTGCAGGCACTAAAAGCGATCAGCAGCATCTGGGGGTACTTGTACTGCACCTCCAGCTGCACCTCCACCATGGCAACCTGGGGGGGAAAGGAACAAAAAGCTTGTCAAGAGCTGCTAGTCTTCCTCTTTTCAAGGCTTTCATCCAGGAAAACATCTTTATTTGGGAAGAGCACCTAAGGTCAAGTACACGCACAAGTGCTTTTTAGAATGGCAGCCTAGATGGATCATTTCTGTTTCCCACGAAGACGTACACAGAGTCTGCAGCTTGGCCTTTCCCAAGGCTCACGTGCACTTTTCTGCAATAACATCTCTCTTCTTGCACCATGAGCCATACGAACTGCATCAAACCCAACACACAGCAGAAGGAACACATTAGACAACAAGTGGAGCTCGGAGGCAGCTGACAGCCCGCTAGCCCACCCGCCCATCACACATTCTCCTTCCGCTCACCACTTGTGGCTGCAGTGCAGAAAGTTTCGACTTCAGACGCGTAAAGAAAAGCAAAAGCAAGCAGCTCTTCTGGCCAGCAGCCAGCAAGGTTTCACTATCCCCCACGGGAAGCACGCAAGCTACTTTGCAGTTTAAGTTAGTCTGTAGTTAAAATAGCTGCCTTCTATTTTCAGAACATTGTATGTTCATTTTTATTACGCATACGCCCCGATGCTAGTTATTTATATCCTCAAATTTCTCCCTTGAGAGCTAATAACTTACTGATATACTCAACAGATGTAGACAGCTACTGGCTTATCAGTGTGTTCAACAACTCAGATAGGGGTCCGATTTCTCAAAAAAAGAGCATTCATATAGCAAGTCTCTAAAGTTGTCTATTTTTTCTTTAATCAAATAAAGCTTAACAAGCAGAATAGGTGCAAGAGAGCAGGGGGCTCTTCCAAGATCAGAACTGGAGCCCTAGTACAGGCCTGTTAACTGGTTTAGCATAAGAACTTGTAAAATTACTTAATGTACCTGAGAAGTAAAATAGTACTTCTGTGTGGCAGCACATCCCTGAAAGGACTGTAAAACTGCTAAGAGAAGCTACAAAAACAGTGGACAAGACTATCAAACATTCCTCTCTAGCAACTCACTTGGATCTGCAGCAGCACTTCATGATTTGCAGAGATACTAACTTGCCTGGCAGCAGGCAAAACCTCTGGTGATCCCAAACAACCTGCTGCTCCGGCACGGCACAGCTTGCCAGATGCATTAAGGAAAGGAGAAGCCAAGGCTCGGATGCGTGCCTCGGGGCAGTGCCTCTCAAGACCATCATGAGAAGGCAAAGTCTGAACAAACAGCTCAGTTCTGGGGGGTAGATGGTTTTTGAAGAATGGGCTCATCGTTACTTTATCCACACTTCGCATGAGACCACCGCTGAGCAGCCATTTCAGGCTCTGTATAAAAATCTCCCCCATTCGCTCTGGCATAACATTTTAATAATATAATTGAGGCACTGGAAGATTAGGGGCATGCTCATGTTCTCCCTGCGGGTAACCCTGAAAAGGATTAAAGGGGATGGAAGCAAGTGCCTGTGTTGGCATGGCTGCTGCCTTACCTGCATTTACTCTGAAACCATCAGCAGCCTGAATGAGGGGATCACAGCCCAGTCTGAGCACATTTAGTACCAACCAAGACATAACGGGAATGTTTGGGGCAGCAAATAGTCAACCTCTACGAGTCCAGATTTTATACCTACATCAACTATTTAGGAGATCAGAGACACCAAAAATATTGTGGCAGTTCTTGGACATTCCGAGACTTTCGTTCTGATTACAAACATGCACGTTTTTTTTTTGTTGTTGTTGTTTTTTTAAAGGTTCCTGTTTATAGTAGTTCTTGCCATATAACAGAGAAAATAATAACACGGGATTGGCTTCACCATGGCAAGGTCAATTTAATTAAACCACATGCCACACGGCCTTGCATGTGTTCTCTCTGCAGATCCCCCTATATTGATTGGAGGAGGAGGAGATCAATTATCAATATACAAACTTATTCTCTGCTGCGCATTGTGCACAGTGCATTTGCACAGTGCTGTGACTGTCAGTCACACCCTGTGAGCCAGGGAAAGCTGCAGGTATATTGTTCATTACTGGGTGCTGTAATACCCAGAGACGTAGCATTCAGCAAGCTGAATAGGAATTGTACCTGCATGTTCAATTTATAGCTTTATATTAAAGCTGAAAGCTTGGCTGATGTCAACATATCAATTTCTACTTGTTATCCTTCGCAGGAGCAGCACTTTTCAGCTAATTGGATGTTTCCTCCCAGACTAACCTATTCCCTAGGGCTAGCTTCAGCTGTGCAATGTGATGAATTTTTAACACTGACTGATGGCTCAGTAAGAGGTATTTCAGGGAAAAACATCAACAATACAGATAGGGCAGCAAGGCAGAAAGCCAGTTCATTTCACCCGAACAAGTACTGGAAAGGTGAGCAAGCTCTTACTCACTTTACCCCGTACAGACTGTCATGTAATTCTCTGACCGGGATAAGAGAAAGAGGACAAGCTGACATAACCCATTTAAAAATCATTAAATATGCTGCTTACTCTATAAAACTATTAATATGTCATGTTTGATATAATTATACTCTTCTGTGATAACAGCCCCCTTTATTGTAACCTCTTCCCAGAAGCTGAGGTGTCAAGGGCTTTGCAAGGCACTGAGCACTCTGCCGAGTCGCAGAATCCCTCAGTGTAGGCTTAATTTTAAGCTTGAGAATCACCCTGTTGAACTCCATGCTCACCAGTGTGCCAAAGGACCAAGTACTCAGAACATTTTAGAGTTAAACTGCAATTAAATTACATGCAATTACAATTTTTTTAGACTGGCATAGCCCAGATCGTCCACAACAAAGAAGATGCTCATCTTGAGAAATTTAGACCAGGATAGATAGTATCAGGCAAAAGGATGACAAATGGCTTAACACAGACCATGTTACATTCACACAGATGGTTTGGCAGTCGCTAAAAACAATCACTCTAGTAGATCTGCTGGATTTTTTTTTTTTTTTTTTTTTTAAATCAAATACATATCCTGTAGCAATTGGACAAACATCAAGAAGACTGACGAGCAGCAATAGCTCTAATTTCCATCAGGCAAATGATTAAGGAGGCTTTCTAAGCTCCCCCTAAATCTCCTTTGCCTGCAGCCTCCCCAGGGCAAGTGCAGTAGCCCTACAGCCCACCTCCAAACAGAGCTGGCGCTGGAAAGGACCCACATCCTCCCAATCTGCCCAACTCTGCCAGAAATACCAGAGATAGCATCGAGTAACGAGGAAGGTTCGCATTATTCTGCAGCCTGTCCAGAAGGAGCTGGATCAAAGCCACCGCCTGTTGATTAAATATCCATCAGCTCGTAATAATTTTCAGCCAGTATGGAACTGGCTTGAATCAAACACACTGACAAGGAAGTAAATAAAGCAATAGCCAAGCCCTGTATGACATTTGTTTACACAGTTAAATGCACATAGGGCTTCAGGGAAACTATTTAACTCTAAATAACTTCTCTACTTTCATCAATAGCCAAACAGATGTACTTATTAGAGAGTAAATATCCATATACTAAACACCTGCCCACCAAATTACCAGAGGATAAATAGCTTGGTAGGAACAGATCCCTCAGCTTTCACTGGAAGGCCCAGTATGATCAGCCAGGAAAAAACTTGCCAATGAAGAGAATTCCTTATTGCAAAAATTCTGATTTCTAACAATTACCAATTTTAGGTGTTCTTATTATGTTAAACTGGTGATCTAAAACTAACACTGCTTATACCTATGTGTTTATTTGACTTGTGTTTTCAACAGTTTAAGAGAAGTCAAATGGTTAATTCTGTGTGTTTGCTGAGGACTTTGAGCAGCTTTCTGTTGTGCGGGTTGAGAAGGCACGCTTTGTTTTTGGATACATGGTCCAGCCCCGCAGTGTGGGTGGGCTGCAAGGCCCCCCCGAGTCCCAGCAACAGCACAGGCACCTGTTTGTGTAACCACGCCGCCCAGGGAGGTCAGTTCACAACACTACAAAACGTTAATTTAATCATCATGTTAAGGACTACAGTCACAAACAACTAACACAGAAATCAAGTAACCCTGAGGCATGAAGGGCAAGCACGTGAGCTGCTTTTTAAAGTAAGAAAGCTTCTGAGTGAAAGAAATCTATCGGAGAGCGCTCAGGTTTCTCAAAACCATTTCAGCACATGAGCTCGGTTACAAACCAGCATACGCTGTGAAAACTTTTTACAAGCATCGCACACGCACAGTCAGGAAGCAGAGAGGAATCACAAAGCGACCAAGCACCCTCTCCCCTGCAGTCTGCTCCCACTTAACTCCCCGCTTGCATTTTTCCAACTTCACTTTGGGTGACCAACTTTGTCACCCCAAACAGACTGTTGTAATGTTACAGATGATTCACATTCTGGGGGATTGGGGGAGGAATAAAAAACAGTGGAAGAAGCTAAAATAAGACAAGGAAAGCTATCCAGGAAGTTCCCGAGATCTGTCTTCCCCCCTGCCCCTGAGCTGCAGGATTCGACACCTTCACATCATGTCCTGCTCGCCCAGGCGCTGCCCTCTGCCTCTCTGAGTTCAGCTGACAGACCTCAGGAACAACCAGAACTGCCCATTTTCCTGAGCAGAAAACCTCCCCCAAACAGGTTTCGATTCTCACTCGCAGTAAGCAAGAACCAGAGGGGAGATGAAGAGGCTCACGCCGACACAGCATGGCTCGGACAGGCCTGAGCACCGGACTGCCGACTGTCTCCATCTTGTGTATTTGCTCTCTCCCTGACATGGTTTTGACCTATTCAGATAGCTTCCAGATAACACCCAAGTGCTGCACGGAGAAAAGCAAGTACCAGGGATTATTCCCAACAGGCAGCACTGACAAAAATATACCAGGTTTGGCTCCCTTCAGGCTACAGAGTCCTCTGACACCAAGTCTGAGGCTGCAGGGCCTCTTCTCGCACCTCAGCGTATAACACGATCTCCCTGATCACGCTATGCAAACTTCGCTCTGGCAGACTGTGACCCAACCTCCACCTTATTTTAGGCACCGTGACCTGAAAAAACACATAGAGAAATTAAGATAATGTTCAGGACCACAGCAACCCCAGGGGCCTGGAGGAGCTCCACGCCCAAGCGTAACTTCATGCAAAGGCAGCCAGCAACGCCTGGCCTCGGGGCCAAGGAGAGCCCAGGTCCTGTATTATTTACCAACACCAGTGGGGCACTTAGGATCACTTGCAGGTAGGGGATTAGAATTTTTAAAGGGCTGATTTGGGAGTGCCTGGGTTGACTGTTAGGCAGCTCACGTATCCGTTGCTGCCTTGAGAGAGCCAGCCTCAAACTTTTCAGCAGCAGCCAAGAAGAAGCCCCCAGGCAGACACCTCCTGCCTCTTCAGAAAACAACAGTATGTCCTGCTACTTCACAGGAGGAAAACACTGATTAATAGAGGATTTTACAGAACCAAAACCTTCACGATCCAGAAAGCGTCGCCAAAAAGCGCACATACCATTGCAAATCCAGACAGCAGAGCAGAGGTTCTGCTGGAAGCTTTCAGTTTGGCTCGGCTCAGGTACAATTTTCTCCACGAAAGGGCTTGAACAGAGTGGTGGTTTGACGTGACCAATTCCAGATAGCTGCGCCGGACCCAGTCCCGATAATCCATGCCTTTTGTGCCAGGTTCAGAGCAGCAAGCAGGAGTGGAAGGATCCACCGGAACATTTAATTCGGAACTCATGATGAGAGAAATGCTGAGGAAACAAAATAGTCACGTTCCAAAGGAGGCAGCAGATAGGACAAGCATCGACTACAGGAAAAGCTACGTTCAAACAAAGTTACTCTCAGTCAGTAGAAAAATGATGGACCAAAAACCATCACGCTTGCAAGGCACAGAACAGAGAAAGGACCACCCGTAATTGCTAAAAATGACCATGAGAACACCATGATTACACAAGTAAACCCAGGAACTACTCCAGTAGGAATCCAGGAAGGTTGCACAGCATCTGGCTTTTCATTTCAAAGCTGGCATCTCAATTCACCCCTTAAATTCCTCCTTGCTAATAAAAAAAAAATACTAAAAAGATACTTTGGAACTAGGGCCTCCATCTTATAATTTTGTTTTAAGCTGACAGTTAGTTTCACAGATAGGCTCCAAATGTGTCTCATTTAGAGTACTGAAATAACTCCAGCTGGCAATGTTCAGAGTCACTTTTTGCTCTTTCTTTGGGAACCAGGTTTTCAGTTAAACCATTGCTCATCATAGCTTAGTTTAGACGGGCACAGTTCTTCCCCAAGACTTCCCCAGCAGTCATAGAGCTGAACGCTGTGTAGGGTTAACTAATGAACTTCCCAAGCTCCTGCAATGGGAAGTTAAATTTCCTGAAATGCTCACACTCATCAGCCACATCTGACCGAGAATCCTGTTCCCTCACTTCCACCGGCGGCTCTTAGCATGGGGAAAGGAAAAGGCAATTCCAAGGGGAAAAGCTAGTTGCTTTCCTGGTAGTTTCAGTGTCTTCAGATTCAAGAGATTACACTGAAAGACATAAGAAAGCAGCAAGACTATTTCAGGTGGTGAATGCCACAGCAGCCAGCAGAGACAAGCGTGGGGTCCGAACCACTCCCTCTTTACACAACTTAGCCAGGCTGCTGCCGAATGGCTCTGGTGATCCCCATGCCATCCACGGACACAGGACAGGATTTGCTCAATGTTTTGAGCAAGTATTTCTCAATTTTGACAAACATCTGAAAGTGGATATTTAACTTGGCCTTCCGAAGAATGGAAACCACGATTCTCTGATTAATCCCCGCACTCACAGCTCTGCCGCCGACAACCACAGCAGTGGCGGGTAGCATCTCCAGAGCTGCACCACACAAGACCCTTCTGCCTATGAATACTTGCCAGCTCCTAGAAGATGTGTGCCCAGAATCACACACGGTGTGGTACTAATTAGTCCCAGCGCCACATCTCAAGGTCATAAGCACCTTGCTGTTTGCTTGAGAGGAGTCCCAGCCCTGCCTGCATCCTCCCCCTGCTCCACCCAGCTCTCCACATCCGCGGGCCACACGGGGACAGCTAATAAATCAACGTTTGCTGTGAGATTTGAGGCAAAGATAAAAAGGACATCAGCTGCCCACAACTCCGAATGGTATTACTAAAAGGGAGCAAAGCTGTTCCAGGCACAATAAGGAAGATTAAACTTCAGCAGCAAGTAAAGCATTGTGGGTTGCAAGATTGTCTGTCCCTCCTGAAGCATTGTGGGATTTCAGCCCCCTCAGACACAATAAAGATGGCAGCAAGAGCACAAGACTTGTTCTTCTGGGCAGTTTTTGACAAGGCCACTATTACAGCCCCTGGAGGACTCCAGGATGGCTCCTGAACTGCTCACCAGTTTTCAAATTATTAAAAAGAAAAAAAAAAACCAAACCCAAACCATAAAAGAACTTTCCCACAACAATAAAAACAAGAGCAGAATTACAGGGACAAACCTCACAGCTTGCTCTGCATTTCCAGGAAAAGGCAAGGATCACCTACTTTACAGAAGAAGAAAAAACAATCTTTCCCCAACCCTCTTGGGAGGATCGGAGCAGAAACGTTCTGTGAGCAGCAAAATTATGAAGCTATTTCCTGTCACAACATCCTGTGGGGATTCTGCAATGTATAGCGTGGGGTGAATTTATTAGCTTTGTCCTTAGTTGGGACACCAATGGCCTCTATCCTGCCATTTATTTTCACAAAACGTGTAGGAAATTTTTATGTAGGAAAGGTCAACCTCTGGACAAATTCCATTGAAAAGACAAATTAATTCAGAGGCTACAGAGGGAGAGCAAGAGTACCCAATCACATCTGCTTCTTTCCTTAGAAAAATAAGCTAAAAATACCGTAAGGATGAATTTTCACTCTGGAGCAGCTGAAGAGATGTTCCCCAATAAGTAAACAACTTCAGAATAAAATCCATAAACACAAACGTAGCCCAAATAAGCAGTAACAGGATGGCAAACTCACCTTGCTGGCTACGGACATGGAGAGACTGGGCAGAGGGCTCCAAGGGCTGAAACATAAGACCAAAGAAGCATTTTACATGCACAGTATCTTAAGCAGTTTTACTCTGGAAATACTTTTCAGCCAGTTATCTGCAGCAGGGGAGAGTTATTCTAGAGATTTCACGTTCCTGCCTTGCAGTGTTAAAGGTTCAGGACACTTGCTCTTACAGATGTAACTGTCCTACAGGGCTTTACCACACAGGGTTGCTGAGTTTTGGATGGAGAATCAGAACTTCCCCAGGAGACCTCGTCCTCAGCCTAACAGCCAGCTCCGGCCAAGTCCATCCCAGCTGTGTCTTTACTCACTTCCATCACACCACCGATGCATTTGAGACTGCTTCATTTCACACCGCCGAAGACGGAAATCTCTCTGCAATTGCTACCTCATATCGATTTTGTTAATCTGTCCAGCGCTGTCCTTCGGAGCAGTGAGCATAGCGGAGAAAGCCTCCGCCATGCCTTACATCTCTGCTGCCTCTGTGCAGTTGCAAGCGCACGTGCGGGGATTTCTTCACAGCAGGGAACGAAGCAGACACCGCTGGGGATGAGATATGCAGATCCCCCTCCCGCCGCCAGCGTGCCCTGAACAACCGCCCACAGAGCGCTGTCTCAGCAGCACTGTCAGCTTCTCTGCCTGGCTTTGGGACACTGGCCCCACCTCAGAACCAGGTTTTCTGCCCCACAGCCTGGCCTCCAGCCTGAGACTGATCAGTGGATTTGTACCAGTGCCTTCCTCCCCTGCAGAGTATCATTCACCCCGCACACCGTGGCTAAGTCTAACCCCAGGTCCCACTACTCCCCCTTCTTCTCCTTGTCTGGGCCTCCCAAGATCAGGCCCTCTGTGCTATGGGGAACCCCTTCCCACGTTCTCAACTGGCTTGGGACCCCCCCCCCAGGAGCACCCCTGGGATGTCACACCACCCAGGCAGGGTGTGAACACCCCACAGCTGTCACCCCCCATGTGGCATCACACCTCAAGCAGGGGATTCCCCCATCCTGAGCAGGATGCGACCCCCTTGCCCCACCACCCCAGGGCACTGCCTGAGCAGGGGATTTCTCCTGCTCCTTGCCAGCCACCCTCAGCACACCACAGGCAGGATGTGACTCCACGCAGCGAGGCTCTCCCCTCCAACAGCACCCTCAGACAAGGGACCCCCCCGGCCAGGATGCGACGCCCTCCCAGCTGGGATCCTTCCCTCTGAAGGCACCCAGCAGCCCAAGGATCCCCCACATCTCCTCAGGCAGGACGGGACCCGCTCTCTCCCCACCTTCCCTTCCAAGAGCGCCCTGGGTCAGGGGCTTCCCTGCACGGCGAGCAGGAGGTGCCTCCCCTACAGCACCCCGGCGAGACGGCCCTTTTGTC